TGTATCTGAATTTATGACATTTTTCTGATCAACAAACACACAAACACGTGTAATTTAGTCCAGTTTAGCCTTTGCAGAGTGAAACCGACTGAACCAAATAAAAAAGACAGAATATTACAAACTCTGGTATGAACTTGAACTGGGTATGAAAACAGTCTGATTTTCCTCACAGATGCTAGCTAGCAAAGTTTGCTATCTATACCTGAACCCAGTGAAGTGCAGGATCTAAACCAACACTGTTCATGAATAAGTTTATAGAGACATTTTATTAGCTTGACATGAAATGTAATTTCAAAAATTTCTCCCCAGTCTAGCTATGACCAGCTCCACCTACTATACAGGTCTCCACCAATCACGCGATGCTACCAGTGCTAGGAGTGTAAAGGCTAGCAATTGCTTCTTCCGTGTTATGTGAAGTAAGACACAGTATCTTTTCAAACTGCTGCTACTGTGCTCTCTCAGACTACCAGCCATGGATGATCACCGAGGATCTAACTCGCAATCTCCTGACAATAGGGTCAACACATAGACACCATCAGTCAGTATTAATGTGGCAGCAGCACCTAACCCGAAGCTAGTGCCAGTAAACAGTGCAAAACCATTTTTCACCTTCATTTTGCTTTAATACTGAACAGCTGAGAGCTATTTAGAGCAAATTATCTTTGCAACAAAGGCCTGTTCTGCTGGTTAGTTTGTTTGTTGTTCATGATGCACGTTATTCATTCAGGTGACGTTACTGATTAGGATGTGCAGGTCGCTCCTGGATTCAAGTTTGTTCAGATTAATGACAGATTTGAGTCACAAACCTACACAAATGTGAATTGTCAGGTTAGAATGATCAGATCAGAGCAAAAAATCTGAATTGATCAATGAGGCTCGCAATATGAAAGTAGCCTTAGAGGGCAGCGGTGAGTAATGTTTTTTGAGCTTGGCCTATTTCTGCTGTCAGTTAGATAGCAAGATAACTAGCCAATTTTGTGACATAAAGCTTGTACTCAATACAAGTTAACTGTCTTTTTAAAATTATTAATTATAATTATTATATGGCAATTAATTGCCCACTAAAACGTCACAATCGTGACAGGCCAACTAACAAGTACGGAAGCTTATAACTACCAATTAGCAACAAGTCATGGTTTTGCTTTTAAGAAGATGAAACTGGAAAGAGCAAAGAGTAGCTTAGCTTAATCCCTAGATAACATACATGGCCACCACAGCAGCCCTCCATACTGATCACCTCAGCATCATCAGTATCCCACAGAAAAGTGCTTCACTGCATACCATTTCACATCTAATCACTTCCACTGCAAGGAAGGGGACAGGTAAATTGCAGGACTATTACCATTATTTGACCATGATTCAGTCCAAAGGACTTTTATTTAATGGAGCTGTGGCTACTGCACAGACCTCTGCTCCCCAGAAGCCAAGCTGTGAATTGTAAAGCAGGAAAAGCAGGAAGAGACTAAGAATGCTGATTTGGATGGCAGTAGCCCAAGCCGGTGGCATTTGGTTTTATTAACAAGCAGCACAGGAGGATACCCAGCAGGCGGACGAAAGACAACTATGTAGCTGCAGTCCCACTGCTCCAGGACTTGGACCCAGCAGACATCCTCCAAAATGTTCAGAGGCCTGGGACCAACGCAAAACACTCCCGCTGCAGTTCTCTGAGCACTTCAGCAGTTGTTCACAAACAGGATAAATCATCCCCATTCAACGCAGGCCCACACACTAAAACTACAGTGATAATTATCAAGTATTTTTTGTATCCATAATGTGTTTAAGTTTTTTTTTTTGAGAAAATGATTGCCATTCCCCTCTTCAGGCTCAAATGAGCAGCAAAACTTGAACTTTGAACCAGCTGCCAATGTGTGCTTTTTACTGACTAGACAGAAAGAGAGAAGTCTATATATATATATATATATATATATATATATATTGGGCACCAGGTATGCCCCATCATAGTAATGCTGTTCCTCAAAGGTAGTGGCCTCTTTCAGCAGGAAAAAGCACCCTGCTACACTGCACACACTGTTCTGGAATGGTTTGATGAACATGACGAAGAGTTCAAGGCATTGCCCTGGTCTCCAAACGTGCTGGAACAACACGTCTGATCTGTGGCAGCTCCACCTCGCAAATTACAGGACTTAAAGGATCTGCTGCTAATGTTTGGTGCAAAAAAACACAGGGCAACTTCAAAGGTCTTGTAGAGTCCATGCCTTGCTGAATCAGAGCTGTTTTCACAGCACATGGAGGACCAACAACAGATTAGGCAGGTGGTCATAATGTTTTAGCTCATCGGTATACTGTGTTTTCTTCAGGGTCCATCAATATTAGATTAGGCAGCAGGTCATAATGTTTTAGTTCATCTGTGCACTGTTTTCTTTAGGGTCCAACAATATTCAGACCTAAAACTGAGCATTAGAAAATGCACATAATAATTGTTGATAATAACACAGTATGACAGACATTTGTTTTGCAATTTAGTTCAGCCTTACTTTACTATTTGTGTGTCCAAATTTCAAGGCACAACTCAGCATGGCACAGAGGGTGTAGTCAAGACAGACTACAAAAACTGCAGTGATGAAAAACAGCAAATCCGCTGCCCAGCATGCTGCTTGACTGACGTTAATTATCCAAAAACAACAAAAAAGGAAAAAAGGAAGAAAAAAAACACTTGTTCTGAATTGAGGACAGACTCGAAAAACAAATACATGCACAACCACTGCCGTAAGGCCATCCTCATATGAGCTTGGCAACTGCGTCAGTGCAGTAGCTAAAACAGCATTCTGTGCCAAGTCTAAAATGCCTCTGACGATCGCTGACCATCAGTACAACTGAAATGAACATATGAGAACACATCATGCATCGTTCCATGGAGAGTAAATGAGAAAGAGCTGTAATTATGGAAGAGTGCCAATCAGCAGTATTGTCTCCCACTCCTATTCAAAAACAGCAGCGTCTTTATCATACCAGCCCGTCTGCCCAAATGTTCTTGCAGAAGACCTCATTATTTCTGCAGTGGCTGAGACAGCGCCTGCTGCAGAGGAGTTCAGCTAGTCAGCAGTAATTGTCACAACAGCATGAGGAAAAAAATAAATAAAAATACCTGTATCTCCAAGCTTTTTCCTCAGACACTGACTGCGATCCTGCTGGCTTAAGAACGTCTAAAGCCTACACATTTTGCGAATCTTCCAAGGCACTCAGAGAAACAGAATGCACCTTGGGACATTCAGCACAAAAAAGGGAAGGGGAAAAATACATACTCTAGATCCTAGAGTATGTGTCCTCTGGAGGACAGAATGCTCAAACTCCCATCATCAAAGAGGACTAAAACAAAAGGGAAATGGCATCTGGGCAGGTTTCCACAAGCTGGCCAAGTCTTAGACAGACACGTGTATCTCCCCATACAGAGAGACCGTGCTGGAGCTTGATAAGACAGCAGTGTGCCAATACGAAAAGAGCAGGCCAAATGTCCATCACAAGAGAGATGGAGAGAGTGATACAGAGAAGATGCAGAGAAAACAGGAAAGGAGAAAAAAAATTAAATGAATAAATTGACAAAAAGTTCAGAAAATTGAAAACATATATACACATATATCTCTGAGTGGTGTCCATTTAGAGGGGGAGACTGTTCCCAGATGGGATGTCCTAATTAAATAATGACAACCCATTAGTCTAGGCACTGGCTTATTGATCAGTAAGCAGCAGCAGCAGTCACTGCCCTCACTGATGAGACTTAGCAGCTCTTTAAATAACAACAGCCTCTTGGTTGTTAAGCTCTGTGAACATCTTACGATACCAGCAGGAAAGTCATACGATGGGGCCACATATAAAAACAAGTAAAACATAGCCTGACATTTTAATATGCCCTGTAGTTTCTGCTACCTCACAGGTAATGTACGATTTCTGGAAAGGGAGAATGTTATCTGCCTCAGTGCTCTGAAGAACAATAAGGATTCTTTCAGATATCGACCATCCATCCTGCTATTAAGGAATTAAGAACACACATGTATGATTTACACTTTCATACTAACAGCTCTTGGCTGTCAGGTAAAAAGAACAAAGCTAGCTGAACAAGCTTTTCGCAGCAACATAACACTGTTTAAAATACACCATACTTAACTAAATGCTGAGCACTGTTATAGATCAATAATGATATCTCAATATTAACTGACCAATTTACCAGGGCAGAGCTAATTTCATCAATACTTGAAAAAAGGAACTTACATGCATGTCATGCAGGCAAACACGACCCTACTCCTCACGTAATCTTGCAGGCATGCGTGCACATGTCTGCAAAGGTGAATATGGCACAATACCTGCGGTCTAAAATAGCTGTGTGCTGCATTCAGCTACATGGTGAAGTTTTGATCGTTTTTATAGTATAGGTCATACTGAGCCCTAAACCACATCTACAAGTCTGTGTGACCTTCATGAAGGCCTGGATGTGGTTTAAGCAGGTTGAGAGTTGTACTGGGAATGTATTTATGGAGAAGATTTGGGTGACTACTGACTTCTGGTGTTTAGCCTCATAGCTCTAGCAGCAAACTAAAGAAGCAAAACTAATACTCTTAACATGCCTTGGCTGATCTGGGTAAGTGGAAAATTGTGTAAATTAGATTTTTCACCTGAAACCTTCCATTTAAGGTCTTCAAGCGGTTTTAATTCAGATTCAGAAATCTCAAAGTAAGCTTTCCACTTCTTTTAAGAGAGTATACTCCTATGCAAGTGCGCAAAAATAAAACATGTTAATGCCTTGACATCTGTCAGTTCTGAACAGAAAGTAATACTAGTTCTTGCAGGGCTTTTTCTGAAAAAACAGTAGTGGCCCATTACCAAAAAACCAAAAAAAAAAAAAAATAAAACACACTTTAGGAACCAGCATTTGTTGTTTTTATTTCAGCTGATGTAAACAAAAATGCTATTTCAGTGCATGTAGCAATCAGCTGTAATTCACAGAGCATCCAGGCAGTCCTCATGTCAAGCAGTACTCCACATACCTTATGCAGCTGTAGTGTTTGAAAGTGCTGGCAGCCTTCTGGCATTCCAAACACAACTGGATTGCACCTGGATAGTCCTCCTCCTGTCGAAACCAAATAAGATCTCTGAACCTCCACATTTAACAAAGCCAAATTTTCATCAACTCTTAACTACACAGTACAATACAGCAACTGCTTCACATACTCTGTAAAGGCCAATGGCAGTATGTTCAGAAAACAGACAAATGCCATGATAACTTGGCTTAACCTGCAAAGCTCTTTCTGTATACAGATATCTGTAGTAGTTCACATGCAGACTTGTAGATAAATGTGGCAAAATATCGCAGCAAGGACACTCTCAACTCTAAATTATTGCAGAGAAAAAATGTCTACCACTTATCAGATTTAAAATAACCTTTTTAGCAACAGCAGAAAATCAGATTAAGCATTAACAAATATTATGGAATAAACCTCTCACAATAAAGAAACTCAACCACTGCTTTAATTTAAAACATCCACAATCTGATAGGAGACAGTGTGGGATGTATTTTTGTCCAAGAAAGTGTGAGAAAAGCTTGAATCAAACTTACCTCCAGCATCTCACTCAGCCTAACATCTGTTCTTTGCTGCATAAGAGAAAGAAAGAGAGTTGATTTCACACTGGATAATGGGACCCACAGACTTACAAGTTGGCCACATTCAGTCATTAGTTCGGTGATTACCAGAGTCTTTATGGTCCTCAAAGATTTCAGCAATCCTGTCAACAGCTGCCTCCGTCTCTGGTTGGCCAGAAGCCCTAGACTGGCTTCAGTGAAGCCCTCTTTAGCAAAGCTCAGCTGCCTGGAATGAGAACAGAAATGATGTGAACTTATCTTGAAATGTCACTAGTTTTTTTCAATCATTGTTAGAGCATAAAAACAGAAACCTAAATTTGTCATAATATGAAAAAGGCAGAATTTTAGCATAGTTCTAAATGGTTTTGTTTTCTGGTACTGAAATGGAGAGGAACAAAGGGTCTCGGACCTCCGAGCGTTGGTGCAGATGACAGCGGCCAGCTGCAGGTTGGTCTGCAAGGACGTTACTCTCTCCAGCTCCTGAAACACAGCACCATGAACAGCTTAAGCAAGATTAAATCAACATACTCTATAAAATGGAACAGCTAATACAATGTGACAACTCCCTCAGTACCCTATTCAGTAAAGGAGTCTGGGGGTTTTCTAAAAACCTCTCATGGGTGGCTATGTCAGTAACCTTTGTTACTAATAAGTTCGAGCCCTTATGGAGAGAACACTCAGTTCCATTGTACAGCTCCGGTATGAGCCTAGCGCAAAAAACAGACACTGCGATGCATTATCCATTGTCCGTTTACTAGGCCCAGCGCGATGCTAGAGGTGTCTTTTTTCCCACTTGAACCCACCAAAAAAGTGAAAGGGCCAGCAAAAGACTTTGATTAAGGCAATGAGCTCTGTAAGAAAGACAGAGCGAAGGATGAGGCAGTGTTAGAACATACCCCTGAGCCCAAACCACATCTCCTGAATTAATCGCTGGGTGGAATTTGAGGCTTCCCCCCCTCTCCTCTCACCACATTCTGCTGTTTGAAGAGCACAGCTGTCACAGCCTGAGGTGAACACACACTGACTGACCCAGTGTTAAAACAAAGCACACCGGCCAAAGACATTAGCACACATGCAGCCTTTAGTGGAGGAATATCATCCCACTGTCACGTTAAAGATAACTATTTGGCAAGAGAATACGAGGTGGAAAAAATCGATTCCACAGAGAGGACATATTCAAAGCTTCTTTATGCCCAACATCACAAGGAAAGGCATTGAGTGGTTGCAGAGATAGCACCAGTTATCGCTGGTATTTGTAAAAACCCTGGAAGGCGCTTGATGAAAGAGGGTATTAAACGTGAAGCTGCGCGTACAGAGCGATCTAGGGAATATACAGTTGGTTTCAATAACATGATCAAAAAATGATACAGTAAAAAATAACCATGTTTGAAATGTATTATGCTTCTGATCTATGATCACACACAAGAGAGTAAAAGGTTAATTAGAGGTCAGCTTACCATAAGCAAACATTTAATTAGTATGGAACCAGTTAAACAAGTCACATCTTACAAGCCACAATTACTAAAACAATAAACATTTATCCTGAGTTTTAGGCTTTAAAAGGGATGTTTTTTTTTTATTATAGCATAATTGGTGAAATGTAGTTACTCAAATCATTTTGATGCTCAATGGCGCATTATAGAGAAACTATTTTCTGATTTTCTCTACGCTTGTAGTGATCAGAACCATGGATCACAATGTATTAAACCTAGCCAGTTTGTTTGCTATCTATAACAATGAGTGAATCTACATGTAAAATTGTGGTAAATCCATTTTCTTTGGGGTATTATTTTACCTTAAAATATCCTGTATGTAGCTCTCCTTCAAGTACATTTTTAAAAATACATGTTTTAGGCAAAAACTTCTCAAAACTACCATAAAACAATGTTTCAGGTATAAGGACACAAATTCATAACCATTTTATGTAATAGCTGCCTGTGAGGTAGATTTTAGGTAAATATGGGCATTTCAGTCGAATTTGATATCTTAATCAATAAGGCAAGCTACTGCACACCAGATGCATCAGGTGGACAACCCTCAACATCTTACTAATGCTGTACTATATTATATTAAACCCAGCCCAAAATTCCACAGTAGGTGACATATGGCTTGAAATTTACACTGAGAAAGGTAGTTAAATCCATATTAATAGAGGGTAAAATGAACGTTAGCTTGTTTATATGCGCTTTTCCATGACGCTTCCTATGTGCTGCGCTTTATACTGTCTGCTGTGTTGTAATGCTTCTTGCCCAGTGAGGTGTGGTGCTTCCTGTCCGGTGTGCAGTACCCTTTCTCTGGCTGTAGTAGTCTGTCCTCCTTTGCAGAAAAAAGATAAACAATCTACACTGCCCTTTTATTGAATATATAGTCCAGACATAATTTAGAATATATAAGGTTAAGTAGAAAATAAGCGTATTTCCAAAAACCTTAATTTACTGTTTATTTCTTTTCTTACTTTTACGACTATTGAAACAATTCCTCACCCCTAAAATGCTCTGGATGTCTGCATCCTATCACCCCTATTATGAACAAGCATCATAAGTCTAATTTTATTTATTTATTTCCTATGAATAAAGTACATGAATTAACAAGTGCTTCCCAAAGCCCTTCTTGACTAAAGTATCTCATAAAATACTTTTTATGTTGATGCCTAACCCAACCTATATGTTAATGATACCACTCATTTTGGGGAAACTCACCCCTTGGTATCAGTGGCTGGATAGCATAGTGGATAACTCCACAGCCCCACATAAAGATGATCCGTGGAAGCCTAGCAAGGAAGGCCAACACTATACCTTTCAGCAAGACTCCTAACATTACATTCACCTACTACTGTAATTCACTGTCCATAAGCACATCTAGTAAATATGAAACAGATTTTATGTGTTGCTTTGCCTTTTCCACAGTTCTATCTCGCTTCAATAAAATAGTAAAGTAAACTGAAGTGAGATGAGAAAACTAAACTTTTCGTAGGAATAACTGCAGTGATACACTACTATATATCGTAGGATATAGCACTTAGCATTTGACAAATCTTTAACAATCACAACAGAATTGTGTTGCGGCTCAAGTATAATGATTATTTCATATCGAGGGTTTTCTAATGATTTCCACCCATAACAGAAATAGTAGCAGTTAGCAGAGTTTGACCTGAGCAGCTTCTTTCCTCTGCATATGTGATTTGATTAGCAGTCTCCTGAAGTGCCCTTGCCAACGGAGGAGTCTGGCCCAGCTGTAGCCCCTGTGACTCACTGGGCTCTTGAAAAAGCTCATGGGTTTCTCGACTCAGAGCCTGCCAAAATGAGCGATTTACAACCTTATGCATGGGTAGGCTCATTTGGCTCACATCAGTACCCCAGCCAATCTACCCATACAGTGCTTAAACCCTGTCCCAGTGCACCAACAAACAGAACAGATTCAGCCATGGCCTGGTGCGTCATCTGCCTATATTCTCTACTCAGTACTGGCTCATTAGGGTAATTAACTCAAAGCCAAGCCCACATGGCTGCCAGGATTAGCCGCAGAGGCCACGGTTCAGTCAGGCAACTGGACTCTGATGCTAACCTTCAAGCTGAAAGAGCCCAGTCTAAATAACTCAACCCCACCTGTTCTGCCAGCCTGAGTGCAGCTAGACAGGCTGCGGTGAGCTGTAACGCGAAACACACACACACACACACACACACACACACACACACACACACACACACACACACACTGACCAAAGAACAGCCGCATGTCTAGATCACAGAGAAGAGCTCATAGTTACAGACAGATGCTTGAGGCGAGAGGACAATGCCGCTGAGCTATTTTCCCAGAGAGAAAATGGTTATTTCAACATTTTAAAAAAGCATTCACAGCACAGACCATCCAATAAACACTGAGCCGCTGAGAACTTAACTGGGCTGAAACGAGCTACAGCAGAGCAACAGTCAATAGAGTTTGTATAAAAGGTACTCAGTATTCATGGCTCTTTTCCGTTTCTCTTAACCTCTGGCCCTTATCAATAAATATGCCTGTATAATGACACACGAGGCAGATGCTCTAAGGCAGCCTCACACTTATGATCATCTCCGTACAGGAAAATAAATGACATACACACAGCTTTTATCTATGATAAGAAAACAATCTGGATGCTGTAAGAGAAGAAAAATATCTTTGGAATAACATAAATCAGAGGAGTATAAGACCTGTTTCAGAGAGTAGAAGATTGACCTGGAACACAATATAGAGGCGACAGTAGAGAAATGAAAGCAGATTTGCAATGATTCACAAATGAAGACTATTCATTCCAGATTTACATTTCTTTAGCATAAATGGAATATGTAAACATTTAACTCCAGTGTTATTGGGCAATTTTAACCCTAATAATCCAGATCAATGTGTAAAATGATATCACCAAGTAACCGTGATGCACATAATGCATTAAATGGTGGTCTCCAAAGATAAAAGCATCTTGAAGAGAGTTCTTTATCACATATTAATACAATGCCCAAAAATGTTTGTTTTGGTCTGTTCCCTTAGGGTTCCAACTTTAGTTCTGTTTAGATAAGGCTGATTAGTTTCTGTCTTTTACAGTAATACAAGTAAGTACAATTTTAGTAAAAATCCAGGAAAGCCAACTGCCACCCACTGGTTTAGAGAATTACAGTTCCCTCCAGAATGAATCTAAAAATGTATGTATGAAAATGTTTGTAATTCCTAGAAACACCCAATTTAGATGTGAATACCTACAAATTTTAGTTGAAAATCTGCACTTTAAGCTTATATTTATTATCTAATTTCAAATATGTTGCAGTAGACAGCTAAAATAACAATACCTTGTCAACGTGCAAATATTTATTGACCTGACTGTAAATCCTAAAAACAACACAACACACACCATGAATTTGGCAAAAGCTATGTTTGGCACAAAAAGAGGTAATTCTTGATCTCCACTGTGAAATATGGTGGTGAAATAATATTTGAACTGTGTCACTTACTGTTTCCAAATTATCACTATCACTTAAGTATTATCTTTTACTCAGCTACTTTGATTACTATTTTCTTTATATAGTAACAGTTCCATCCTACTGCTTTTACCAGTCCTGAACATACACTCATCATTTCACACTGATCCATATCAGCCCTTAAAGCATCACATAGCTTCAGGTGCAGAATTATTCTGCAATTCAGTCTCTGTGGAGTGTGGAGCTAGAATTTAGGTTAAGTTAAATGAGTGCGGTTTACCCTAGGGTCTTAGGAGCCAGCTTCAGCAGCAGTTACTGTGAGTCAGAACTCACTAGCCTGTGACGGTATAGTCACAAGACACGTCCAACTGAAACTACTCAGGCAACATTGCTAATGCTGTCTTCTTTACATTGAGAGCTAAGACATCTGGGAATTTAAAGACCCAGCACAGTTGCTTTTTAAATTCTGTCAGAAATTAAAATTTTAGCCAACTATTTCTTGCATTTCGGTGACATTCCAAAAGGTTCCCCAAAAAACATTAAAGCAAGCATTCTGCCCTCTCTATTTTCTCTGTCTACTTTATTTCATTTCACCATATGAGCTTGATCCCCAGTGGACAGCATATTCACAACCACCTCTTGACACAACTGTAACAACATAGTTTTAGATATGGTGCAGGCATATCAAACTAATCTATGTTTACATATCTGAGTCAGAGGACAACACACATACAGAGAACTAATTAGGGATGAGCTTGGTTATTTGAATATAGACATAATCTGAACTATTCCTCAACATAAATGGCTTTAAACCATATTAAACGAACCCTAAATAAAAATATGATTTTGTTTTACCAGTTCAGTCTGCAACAAAGCTAAAGGGCAACGCAAGCTTTAAATTTTACAGCATACACACAAAGTACTAAATCCCACCTGGAAAAATAAACAAACAAGCCAATTACTTTGACACTAAAATAGTAGTGAAATTCAATATAGATGCTAATGGAAGCTAGCATTACACTAGTACAAACACATAAAGCACAGCTACTTATAAAGTGAAGTTTTCAGTATGAAACCGCACGGCTGGCACATTTTTCTGATTATTTGAAAAAGTTACTTGAATATCCTATGCTTTTTTTATTGATACAGATTGTACTAGTGGATGGAGATGATTAAAAAAAAAAAAGAGTCCCAAGAGAACAGTACTTTCACTACAGACCCACAAAGAAATTAAAGCTTTTTAGTCAGATCTTATTAATTGGAATTGAACAGAGCTTGTAACTTACTCCTTCTTTTAGCACAAATCAGAGCATTTATAAACACTAATGTGTTGATGTGGGTAACATTAAGTACACTGATTGATGTCAGCAGGTTAACTGATTTAACAGTTCATGAATGGGCGATTTAGTTGTGATTCACTGTAGTCAATAACCAAATTTTATGTAACACTAAAAAGATGGTTAGGGGGCAGTGTAACAACATTTAAAATCTTCAGAGATCGTTTTATCATTACTTATCAGTGCACAACATGTGTTGTGCTGAATCAAAAGTACACAGATAAGGAACAATGCTGGGCTGGGCCTTTAAAAATTCTAGCACTGTAATTACTCAGTAGGATCTCTATATTGACCACACAAAGAAATCTGTAGTGTTTAAGTGCTGTGTGGTGGTTAATGTTTTCTAGCAAATGGTTACATATTTCCACCAAAGTGAAACATTCTGTAATCCCTCAAAGTGACACGTAAACACGGAGTTTCTCGTCATGTGTGTCAAGGTGATGGTAAGGTTATCATTTGATTAGAGCATGTGGGTGCTGACAGCTTGCCAGTGCCATGCAGTGTACAGAATGTGTTTAGGCTAAATCGGTGTGGGTTGAGGGGGCAGTGGCAATGTCATGACTGTGTAATGTCACTGAGGTCCCATGGCTTAAAGGGCACAAGACTCCACTGAGGTACAGCAGCTAGTCACCACTGATTAAACGGAGCCTGTGATTCACTTTGTTCAACAGGATAAGCCATCAACTCTGAATAAGCTAGAAGCCAGTTGCAGGCAGTACTTATTTCATTAGAGCAATTAAACATTTAGTAAAAGACAAAATAAGCATAATTATTTTCATTACCAATATCCATAAATTAAGCACTGTACACTTTTGAATATCTGTAATTAAGAGAGCACTTCTTAAATTATGGGTTTCTGATTTTAAAAAACGCAAAAATACAATTCATTTAACAGGCCACATTTCCAATAACAAACAGAACCAGCATTCTGTCCAGGTTCATTGTCTTTCATCAGCTGAAATCTATTTCTCGGGAAGTTACACAGTGTCCTGAAAGTGTTTTGGGTACAAGTCTCTCCTTTTCTCTCTCCATCAACAGCAAACTGGCTGCCACCACGCGCAGGGTCAAGCCCCAGGCGGCCTATCAGCAGGGAGAACACGTCAGAGCAGCCTACCCTACTGAGTTATTGTCCAGCATGAGAAACCAGGCCGATTTCCAAAGGGGAAACACAGAGAACAATGTTAGTGGAGTTAAAGCCCAGTACACTGGCTAAGGAAAGGAAGGGAAGTTTTTATCGTTCTATTACCATTAACATTAAAAGGCAATCAGCAGAAAAAAATAATGATGCTGAGAACATATTTCAATAAGGCAGTAATTTACAGGTAAAGGCTGGTACGTAACTCTCAGGCACCTACATGCACGAAGGCCCAATTTTACTACCTAGCAATACAGAATACAAATGTAAGACTCTAAAGGTAACAGCACTTAATTATGAGACAATCAAACACAAAAATAACTAATCTCCTTTGGTGGATGTCTTCATAGTGGACTCTTTAAATGAAGTGGCACCTCACCAGTTGGGTAATTTCTGTGGACCACAGGCCATAATCAGTAATCAGACAAATACTATGATGCATAACAGCAATTTCATTCACTTGGCAACTTACCAAAAAAAACAGCACACAGGAATCTAACTCAAATGGGTCCAAAGAATCCAGAATTGACAATCTAGCTCACTTTGCTACAGGGCATGTTATTTATGTTGGTATGAGATTTTTTTAAACACAATTTTCTGTCATTTGATTCAGTCATTTAATCTACAGATTGCAATGCCCATGCAAGCAAGGTCAGAATAAAATACACAGAGAGCAGGGTCAAATGTCCTAAAGCATGAGTGTCTAGTACCACAGTTTGTTGATGCAGTGCGGTACGACACAGTACGATTACTATTCCAAACTTAGAACTATCCTTATTCTGGTGAAGTGTCCATTTCCCATCATACAACACAACCACTAAAGTAGGAGGTGTTTTCTGGAGTTTGTGTAATGGGTACCACTAGTGTTAAATGGCCTATATCCTACATCTTTCTTGTACTTCATATTTTTCCTTGAAGTCCACTTATAATGCTTGTTGTGTAATTCATTTAACCATTTTCCAACCAATCTTAATATCTTAGAATTAAACAGGCTGTTTTTGTTCCTGTGCCTTTAAGACTGATATATGTAAATAAGCTGTTCTGATTGGCTGTCCTGTATTGTGCTGTCTAGGCTTAAACACTTCTTATAACTTCAGGGCTAAACTTCTGTAGGCTGAATAGGAAGATATATGTAAATGAGTTGTTTTCTGTGACATCACAGAAACACTGAATTCAAAATGCAACATACTTTTCTTACACAGACTGTATAGACTGTCAAGTGACCAGTACATTTAGAAACTTTAACAAAGTCAATACACCACATCAAACTTCTTTAATTTAAAAAAAAGTGAGGACAATTTTATATTGGCCCTTCAACAGTAATCACACACCACAGTAGCAACAACAGGCTGCAGTGCAAATGACGAGAAAACACGTGACCAAATTTTTGTAACTGTACTGTGCCAATGGAAAATGCCATTAGTAGGTCTACTTAAGCAGGGAAACCACCAAAAAGTTGCCCGGCCTCCAGGACCAGATCTCTGTCCTAAAGGATTCAGAAGGAAGGGAAGTTTTTTTTGTTGTATTTCCTTTAACGTTAAAAGGTGACCAGCAGAAAAGAAGCGATGGTGCTGAGAACAAATTTCAGTAAGGTAGTAATGCACAGGTAGGAACCAGAGCAGAATCCACAAAGTGGTCTAACACAGCACAGTAAAAATCCTATCATTTCCTGATCAAAGCCTGACTAGTGTGGCCATAAATAACTTGTAAGAGAAATCTCAAAGTGATCCTGTTAGGGATGTGGGGGGAGAGAGCCAGAAGCAAGTGGACACAGCTACTTAATTCTATCTTCTCGCTTTGCTTTGATCCCAAAAACACATGGAAATGATGGTTTGAGATAAAACACACTCTCTCACTAACAGGTCTGCCAGTCATACAATGTGCGAATCACAATGAGAGGGTTTACGTGACATGGAGGAGCACAAACATTCCAGAACATAATTTCTCAAGCCAAGGTACAGCTTAGTGCAGTTATTACCATAGTAACAGTAAGTCGGGTGGGGGCTATGCAATTATCTTTGGCATGATTGACAGGGCTAAATCAGCAGAAGGCATGCAATCTTCAAGAGTCTAACAGCAGGCCACACTTCTAATGACAGCATAAGAAAATAGGACCATGGTAAGTAGTTATAGGTTAATTGTCGAGAAAACATCCAGAGAATTCAAATGGGGTGAAAAGCAGGAAGATCGTTAGAACTGTTCTTACAAATTGGCTTATTTTCTTAAATGTGCTTTTTCTTAGAGGTGAAGACAAAATCTTACCTTAACGTAGGACGGCTGTTTCTCGAGAATGAGGTCTGCCACTTTTTTCGACACCTGTATAAGAAGAAAATAAGTCAAAGATGAATCTCTCTCAGTGGGATGGAAAATTCATTAAAACATGTCCTAAGCATCTTAAGCTTCTGTCACGCTCCATGAACATAACGCTCTTCAATCTTTTTATCACAATTACTTTGTTGGTACAAGCACTGATTCTTTTACAGATAAGCCAAGGATAATCAGTAAAACCCATGATGAAGTGCTGTTCATTTAGGTGCTGCATTCTACCAGTGTCATTCTAGAACATGTTGGTACATGACACACAATGCTGGTGGTAATGCTGTGCGATATTAAGTAATGTGATTATTTACAGTAATATGAAGCATTACAGTAATGTGATTACTCTTCCCTGTGACAAAGCAGTGAAATGCACTGCAGTTTAAATTCCTGCAATCACATTACAGTTAGTGACTTAGTAAGGATTTTGTTATTTGCATTATTTCCTCTATACAGATTATCCATGTTTGTGCATATTTTGCATGCACCTGTGTCACCTGCGACAGCTGTCTGTCTTGTGCAATTCCACTGGTACAGTAGGTACAGATGTGCTTCACACAGGACTACAATAATGAGTAGTACACTTGCTTTTCCTAGGCCATAATAAGTAAAATGATTCCATTATAATTTGGGTGAAGTAAACAGTAATTTGTAATGGATTATTTTTTTTAACTACCCCAAAACCATCCACAGACCAGTACATAAGGTGATCACAAACACCACAGAAGGTGTTGAGTCTGATTTTAGTCATCAGTGCAACGTTAAATGGTCTTTAGTAGAATAAGTACCAGTTGGTTCACTAGCAGCACTGTAACCTTAAAATTTTATGGGACATGAAGTACAATGTAGAAAAAAGCCCATTGGTTATCGCTTAGTTTACAGCTAACTTCACTATGTTTCATGTTTCTTCAAAGGTAAGACTTTCAAAAAGCATCAAGACAGGGGAAGTAGACACTTTATTATGACAAGGTCAGTCAAATCTTGTCTTCTGAGTCCATCTGATGATGCAACATGGGATCAGTGTGCTGGTGAATATGGCTCGAGGGAAGACCTGGACAGACTTCCTGTGGAAGTGCAAATCAATAACAACCTCACAGACAGAAACAGTGAACGACAGGCCAGGGTGGCTACGAAGGCTACAGAGTGTGTGTAGCTGTTCAAATGGCAGATGTAGAGAGAGGAGAGAGAGAAAAGAGAGAAGAGAGAAAAGAAACAGACAGACAGACAGCAACCCACCCAAAGGAGAATGTAACTGCTCTACAGCCTCTGTCTACTTGGTCTCCCACACAAATCAGCTGACCTCTAAACCAACAAGATAAATACAGGGTGAAAACAGAACTCTGTAAATCGGCTCTGTGGGAACCAGTTATTCCCTCAACAAACGAAAAATGGTCAACTCTTACAGAGTGCACACAGTCAAAACAGAAACTTCATAACCTAAGACCAGCAGGGTGGCCATCACCTTCAATCAGGCTCTTTGCACCACCTATTGGTCATTCATATCTGTATGAAAATGTCCATTCCAGAATTAGCTGAAACTAATCCTACAGAAACAAAAGGCATGGAGATTAAGGCTTAGCATCATGGAGCCAAGAAGCGTGCTAGTTCCAAAATCCAGACTGGTGACTGGCTGATAATCATGCTATCAACATTTGCAGCCTGTTGAACAAAAAGTACAAATATAAATAGCAATGGGAACAACAATATGAATGGAGCTTTTGTTACAGATTGTTCTATGTGAATTACTGCTAAAACAATTGCAAAAGCCTATGTTAAGCAATTTTCTAAAAACTGATTTTACACACATAATATTTGTTTTGATTCAAAAGAAAAGTATCGCTTAGGTATTAAAGACAAAGCATCCGCATTGATAATGGTGTTGAAAGATTCTGAATGACATGCAGCCCTAACGGAGACTGTGTAGGTTGACAGGCTGAAAGACTTTGAAATCATTAATATTATGTGCTTTACACCGTTTTCATCTTTTAACACTAAAGGAGTTGCTGCAAACAAACAAGGTTCAGGCTCATCTCCCTAAGCTTCTCTGCATCTGACAATGAGATTCCTCATTAGAAAGGATGACTAATCAGGAACAAATGAAACATGGCATGTACCACCGCTCTACCCAGCCTGGCCTGCTAGCTTTGCATCAACACACTAAAGCCCGTAAATGCTGATACCACCACTTCCAGACAAACAAATTAAGTACAAATAAAACTTTGCTTCACAAAACACACAGACACAAACACACAAATATACTCCAAAAGCACACTAAAAAGACATCTGTAAGTACCTGGTCAATAGAGGCTAGCACTCAGAGAGCATCACAGGCCTTTCTTCACTGGCTGATAAGAGTGAATCGATACACATTTATTGCAGGCTGGATTCAAGCAGTTGTGTGTGGGAGTGTGCATAATTATTGTGCTGCTTACAAGTGTGTTTGTTTTAGGCCAAGGTCCAGTCACTGGTCAACAGGTACAATGGTTTATTTTTTTCTTTTACACACATACATATACACAAACACGTGTGTGTGTTTCTGTGTGCATATACACAGATCAGGCATAACATTATGAGCACCTTCTTGTTTCTATGCTCATTGTCCATTTTATCAGCTCCACTTACTATATAGGTGCACTTTGTAGTTCTACAATTACAGACTGTAGTCCACCTGTTTCTCTGCATACTTTTGTTAGCCCCCTTTTACCCTGTTCTTCAGTGGTCAGGACCCCCATGGACCCTTACAGAGCATGTACTATTTGGGTGGTGGATCAAGTAACACTGATGTGGTGGTGGTGTGTTAGTGTGTGTTGTGCTGGTACAAGTGGATCAGACACAGCAGTGCTGCTGGAGTTTTTAAACACTGTGTCCACTCACTGTCCACTCAATGTTATGCCTGATCGGTGTGTGTATGTATGCATGTATATGTGTGTGTGTATATATATATATATATACACACACACACACACACACACACATATACATATATATATATATATACACATACACATATATATATACACATACACATATATATACACACACACACACACACACATATACATACATATATATATATATATATATACATATATATATATATACATATATATATATATACATACATATATATATATATATATATATATATATATATATATATATACACATACATACATACACACATACACACACACACACACACACACACATGGCCCACATCCTGGCATTGTGTGTGTGATTAGAGAGCCCAACAACTGACTCTGACAGAGGCTAAATGCGCAGCTAGTGAGTGCAGCAGGGCTAACCTGAATGGTGCAGACATTTCTATTATTATTCACCACCCTCACACAAGACCAGTTTTCAGCACGCCATCAACTTTAATCTGTGTGCTTCACTTATACAAATGACATTTCACACAAAAGGAAACAGAGGATTCTGTGCAAAGGTAACGCTCAGCAAAATACCTTCAGTGAGAAGATCAGCGGTAAACATGGCTTTAGTTGCGCCAACGTTTGTATTTCTTATTACATTAACTGAATTAATTTAAAAGTCAGTAACAGCATATAACGAATGACACAGAAAGCCATATACCCAGGTACGGCAGAAGTAAAAGCACTTAGCTGGAACTTTGAAAAGAATGAAGGGTTCTCCTCCCACCTAAAAATGAACCCCTGACAAACTTAATCTGAGAAACAGTCACACTGCAGACAAGCAATTAGCTCACTGATGAGCTGTTGCCAGAGAAGTGTCAGAGGTGTCTGTAAGCTTTGCTGGAGGAAAGACTTCCAGCTCCCTAATGACACTTTCTCTCTGCTGATGCTGCCACATGGGCCCAGAAATCACACATGCTGGGAAGGGGAATCAGATATTTAAATTTCAATCAGTCAATTATTACTATAAGAAACGTACTACAAATTCCTTTATATATTCAAAGCAAATATTGGGAGGTTAGAAGCAAGCACCAAGACAATATACTGGATGGATGGATGTGCGGATGAATAGATGGATGTATGAACGAAGAGATGGAAATACTATTGGATGGATGTAAAGACAGATGATGGAAAATTATTATCTTTGCAACAAAGTTACAAAAAAGAAAGCAATTTCCGCCCACAGAGTGATATATCTGCTATTAAAAGTGAGGCAAAAGCAATGATGAAATAATATAATAGCACAAGAGCATAATGAGTAAAATTTATACTGAGCTGTTTGAAGGGAAGTGTAGCAAAAGGCAGAGCAACTGCCCGATTGACTCTCAGGCCCCGAGCAGCCTGCTGACAACGCGCACACAAACACAAAATCAAACACACACGCTCCCCTGTAGGCCCAGGGGTCTTTGTTCATCACCCTGCACAGAGTCGACTGGACCCTGTGCTGACAGCAACGTGTAAGAAAACGCCTCAAACAAACAGCAGCCAGAAAAAAGACTGACATTTTCCCTTCAAACAGAGATAAAACTATACGACTCATCCTTGTCTCTGATCCACACTGCTATAACTGCCAGATGTGAATGAACTCTGGATCACCCTGGATCAAGAGAAAAGCTATGTTTGTCCTACACACACACGTGGCATGCACTCGCACACAGAACCTAGAGTGACTGACGGGGATGCGGCAAACACTCTAATAGAGCATGACACATACAGCATGGCCAGAAACGCAGCACATGGAAGGGCCACTTCACATACAGCAGATCCAGGACTCCAGCTACAGCTTACAGACTGTGATGATGACAGAATACTCAACATGATCTTGTGGTAGAATGTGGGTAAAGGTGAAAAAAGCTTCAAGTTCATACTGCCCCCAAGTGGCACAAGTGGTCAAAGCACAAACTCTGGCCATGCTGGTTTGCTGAGATTTAGGTTCAGATTTGAGCTATCCCATGTGCGGTACTTAACTGAGAGAGAATAAGTGCTCTAGACTCCATTCAAAGTTGCTCAAAAAGCATGATGAAGTCAAGCATGGCTCATGGTGGAGAGCGCTTTATGTAGCTTTTTTGGCAAAGACCACTGAATGCTAAGAAGACAAAAGAGTAAGTTACTTGACAGAGACAGTCACAGAGTGCACAGTAGGCGGTAAGTGAGGAGTAGCAATGTTTTGTGGCAGCATAAATGCCTGCATAATTAAATGTTTAAGATGTGAACAAAGTCATTCTGAATGAGGGACACTCCAAATGTAGAAAAACCGGCAAGATGGCTGAACAAGAGACCAAAGAAACACATAAATGTGAGTATTTTCTCAGTTAAAAAATTACGATAACTATTGCATTATCTTAGTTTAATGTCGTTTCAATGTATTATGGTCGTCTTCTTCATAACAAGCAGAAAAAAATCGCTAATAGCATGCTAATGTCTCGGTAGCTAGCTAGCTAATTTTCCCGTTCCACCTTAAATAGTCCAGCAGTGCTGACGCCTGAAGCGCCAGAATGTAACTGCTGCACCATTTAAGGTGGAACGGGAAAATTCGAACAAGAAGCTGGTGAATAGCAGACTTCAGCTTCATCTCCAAAGAATTAGCGGTGGGACGATAATAAATAATTGTCTTATACTCCCTCTTTGAAATCATATGATGCCCTAAATGTAACTAAAGCCCAGCAGTGAGGTTGCTGAACTTTTCCCTTCTCTGCTCTCACTGAAGACGCACCGGGTCGCAGAGCACTGCAAGTAGCCTGTTAATGAAGCAGTTTTTGGGGTTTTTTTTTGGTTTTGTTTTTCATTTGTGGGTTGTCCCATTTCGTAGGGCAGGATTTCAACCACTACCCCTTGTAACTCAGTTCCAAGGGGTTAGGGTGACACTCAAAAACAAGGAGTAGGGGTAAAAAGAAGAAATGGGATTGGGCCTAAGTCTAAACTGGTCACAGTTGGTGATGGGAAGCAGATGCCTGAAGTGTTTCATGACTCTGAAAGCTACCTCACATAAAGTTGACACATGACAGGGTTATGAATATGCTGTGTGATGCCTGAGACACTGTTTTCCATTCATTTTGAGCGAAGCTTTTGGCCTGAAATTTATCTTTCAAGAGCTGTTCATGGCCGAAAGGTACATGCAGGATGCAGGAGCAAAACAAAGAAAACTTTTTTTTCCCAGATTTTCAACTATTTCAACATAAGATTACATACAAAATCAGTTTTTTGGATAGTAAATAAAATGGCTATATTTGTGTTGCAGACATCAAGACCCCCGGTTCCTATCACTATCATTGTGAAGAAAAAAAGGTAAATATCTCTACTGTGAACCATTTCACATCAAACCACTCTAATTGACTTAGGAACTAATTATGCAAATGTTTTGAAAAATCAGATCATCGTGCTGTAATGGAACGTGTGTTATGTTGTAATAATCAGATTCTTGTATGACGGATTAAAGCTGATCATTAAAGTTGCCAAAACTGGAGTGTACCTTACTTAAAAATGCATCAGCAAAGATACACTTATTCCTCAATCTCACCTTAGCATCATCTGTCATTTCATCACAGAACACAACCTGACTCTGCTCTCTCTCTCTCAGTCGCTTTCTGACTGCCTTTGATCATGTCTGTATGTATATTTAACAGTGGGTGACAAACTCTGATTCTGTATGAAGTAATCTGTAAGTGTTGAGTACTCTGCAATAGTCAGATACCACCATTCATTAATTTAAATTCCCAGTCAAAACAGTAAATACAGTGTCAAATTTTTCAGTATTTAGTGTGTCCATCCTTTGCCTTTAGTATCAGTATTTAGTGTGTCCATCCTTTGCCTTTAGTATAGCTCCCATTCTTTTCAGGAGACTTGCTTTAAAAATCTGAAGAGATGTTTTTGGTGGCATTTTCTTCTTCTCACAATTATCATAAACTCTCACAAGTAATCATAAACACATTCGGTGATGTTGAGGTCTGGACTCTGGGGTGGTCAGTCCATTATTCAAAGAACATCTGCAGCTTCCTTTTTTGTCCATTCCCTTCTCAGTAATGACTTCTTCACAGCTCCACATCCTTTCAGAACCATAGTGTTGAGTTGTCTTCTCACAGTGGAAGGATGGACAGAAACACCAGTTTTAAAGCAAAAGTGGAGCTTGATTTTCTCCTCTCTCTCAAAGATGAAAGTTTTAAGTACTGTTTATCTGATGGTGACAGTTTTGGTGGTCTATCAGGTCTTGCATGGTTGTTAGGAGTCTCATTTTGTCTGTATCTTTTAATAATTTTTTGAACTCCAGTTGTGGAAACTTTTGTCGTTTCTCTTATTTTCTATTAACTTTTCCTTTCCTTATGCAAATGGAAGTGGCTATTTTGACTGGGAATTAAATAAATGAACTGTGGTCTCTGACTTTCACATAGCTCTATATTTCAGACAAGAATATCAAAACTGGATAAAATGCTGTTGTTAATGACCTTTATGGAAGAAACATACTGTACAGTTGTCAGTGAACTTATGCAGTTTGGAGGCTGTGTATATAAGAGTTACTGTCTCTAGAGGCTGACACCTATGCAGTAGTGGAACAGACAATACAATCCTTGCACACCATTTAAATGGCACATTTGTTTTAACACCCATACAAACCAAAATGTACATCAGATTGAGCAATTCTTCTGAAGTGACAGTGGCCAGGCTGCCAGACCACATCTATAGAGTGAAATAACAGGGAAATCTGTCTGTGTTCAATGGAGAGCCAGAAGTTCCGCATGATAAGAAATGCATTAACAGAATGCAGTACTTTGGTAACGTAATAAATAGCAGTCAGAGTCTCCTGAAGGCATATGAAAGCTCCTGAACTGTGGCAGCACAGGATATCAGTGTAAATGGCTCTCAGACAACAATATGTAATGCCAAAAGCCTTTTATGAAAATGTATTCATTCATCATCTAAATCGCTTATCCTCCTGAGTGGCAGTTGGTGCTGGAGCCTGTCCCAGCGCTCATTGGCAGAAAACACACTGGACTGGAAACCCACACAGACATGGAAAGAACATGCAAACTCCACACAGAAAGGACCCTGTTTGCCCAGTCAGGGAATCAAACCCAGGCCCTTCTTTACTTTAACTTTCACATTTACTTTATTTACTTTTGATCCCAATTTAAAATTGATCTACTGTCATATTTTCACTTGGAATAGAAATCTGAAGGGTTATTAACACTTTTATTTGAGTAATTATCTATGTGTGTGTATATGCCTTAACTGAAGAAGGCTGAGAAGGTTTTAGGACATTTTCCTCCATGGCAGTATTATCATGGATTGAAAATATCCCTAAAAAAATCCATACTTACAGCTGCTTGCTGTCTTTTCAGCTTATCTCTGTACTCTTCCAATTCCTGCAGGTTCAGATCTGGGGGAAGTTTCTGTGAGCACACACATAAAGAAACAAGGCACCTGGATTATACTAAATTTAGCACGAAAAGGCAAATCTGAAGGAGGGGGTTCACACATGCTCTCAAGAGGCAAGTGTGAAATGGAAAGCGTATTAAATTTCCAAATTTGATCCCAAATGTACATTCTCCAAAAAGTGACTGATTAACATCTGGTGTTTTGCAATGATTTTGGACCATCTTGTAAATAATAATAAGCACAGAACACTCCCCCTCACCACAAAAAACAGAAACAACAAAATGTATGAATAAGAGTAAATATTTCCTGTGTTACCTACTAATGAGGTTTCATTCCCACACTACAAGGATAATCTATCAATCTGGGTTCGCCTACAGTCTGTACACACAGACATGCACAGTCGAATGGCAGACAGTGTGGAAACCCATACGGTGATGTGTAGAAAGGCATGCAGCACAAATACTCCATCAGCAAAAGGGCAAATAAAGGAGATGAGCTGTTTGTTTAGTTGCTTATATGAGAAGGTTACGGCTTTGCTAGCACCTGTAGGGGTTTGGACTGGAGGGTAATGGCAGAGATCCTGAATTAAATACATTTTTAACATTAACTCACCTCAAGCTCATACTGCACCATGTCAAAGGAGTCGCTGGAGAAGTAAACCTCCTCTATACTGTCAATAATCTCCTGCTCCGCCTGAGGATCAATGGGCTGCTCTCTCAACTCCCTCAGCTCCTCCTGATAAAGACAGAGGGAGAGAGTTTATAAAGCTTTTATGTAGGCATTATTTAAAAACAGAATCTGAAAGGAAAAAGTCAACAAATTAAACAATAGTTGTCCTACACCATTAACAAATGCATTTAGATACAAAAGCATTGTTTGGTATAACACAGTGGATGATCCTCTAATGGGGGTCTCCAGAACGTTTAAGCAGAGGGGTTTCATACAGGAACAGGAGCGTCCATGAAGCCTACAGGGCCTCAGGGACAGAGATATGAACTCTCCATTTGAAGATGCAACTCCCTTTCACAACAAAGAAACACAGGAAAAGAGATGGAGGGGTGAAGAGAGAAAGAAAGAGAGAGAGAATGAAGAGACTGAAGGAAAGAGAGAAAGAGAAAGAGAGACAGAGATAGTGATAAGGGGAAAGAATGAGGGAGAAAGGTACATGTGAGAAAGAGAAAACGGATGTGCAGGCAAAAGAAAGGAAGAAAAAAGAAATAAGAATAAGAACGAGAAAGAAAAAGAGAGAGAAGGAGGGAGAGAGAAAGAATCCCTGGTGAATGAGTACTGTCAAGTCAAAGCTCATTCAGTGGTTGCTCTTGTTTCTGAGACAGGAGCGTAGGAGAGAATGCTGTCTCCCCCTTTCAAACTGTGGTTTTGATCAGTGCTTCTTTTTGTACATTTGGGTCATATTCCATTTAAGACCACCACTTAAGCATTTAAGCCCTCTACCCTGAGGAAAAATTTCTCATGGACCTTAATGAGGATTAACACAGGAACATCAATAATCAGTGGAAAACACCGGCAGCAGACAGTAAGCTTTCTTGTAGCCTCTGAGGAGCGCTACTGAGAGGCAGACTGAGCGCATGATTTCACATGATGTGATGCAATCCCGCTAAAAAACGCACTGCCAAAAAAGGTGACAAGAGCATAAGCCACATGAGCCAAAAACAGCACAGACCCGAAAAATGATCTACAGGAGGATTCTCTGAGCCACAGCACTGCACAATTCACACACCAAAACACACACCACACACACTTTATAACATATAGTGGTGGGCAATACGGCAAAAATGTAATATTGCAGTACTTACTAATTAAGTTCTATCTTCTTGTGTGCGTGCAATTCAGAAATCGCTTCTTGGTATCAGTATTCTCTTTTGCAGATGCTGATACTGCCCTTAGGTGCCAGTACCACAGTACTGGTGCAACCCTAACAGTTGGTAACAATAATGACAGCATACAGTCATTTTGCTGACAGCTACTTATATGATTAAATAGTAACATAATTACAACAAATTCTGATTTTAGTACCCAAAAAATTATTTTATAACACTGATTTCTAGAATGGCTGGCCCAATAATAAAGGCCTTGTGGTAGCATCAGCACATTTTCCTTTCAGTTTAACCACTGTGTTAATTTCAGGCTGCTCTCTGATCATTATGTTCACAAAACTCTGTGCTTGTGGTCATAAGAACAGGTGAAGCCTGCTGGACTCTATCAGGCCTTTATTGCATTAGCTGTGGACTACAGTGTTCCTGGCCTATAAATAAGGTCCGACTGATATGCATGTTTACAGAATTTAACTAGTGTTTACTAATTCTCACTGACCCTCTGTAGTTCCCCCAGTAGGTCCAGCAGAGGATATGACTGTTGATAGATAAGGTACTGGAAGGTATTCCCCTTTTATACTGGAACAATATAACAGGGGAAACATGTCAGCAAGACAGCAAGCAGCAGAAGGAAGGAGCAGGGGATGATGCTGGATGAAGGGAAAGCTTCACTCAGCAAAAAGAGAAAGAAAGGAAGCTAAAACAAAGAGAAAAACGACAACTCCTATACAATGGGCCCAGCATGAAACTTGATGTTCGTAGAAGCTACACTCCTAATCTGGCAGAGTGAGATGTAGTTTTTAAAAAATAGCTGCTTTCAGGGCAATTGGTCCAAAAAATGCATTGAATAAATGTTAATTGATGGAAAAAAGATGCCAAATGACTTGTCAGAGGTGCTGGACTGACTGATTTCTGGGATCTCCCTTTACCCTCAGTGAGCAAGTTGAACCTGAACCCCAGGAATACTTACAATAGATCTTTAACTTGATGAAAATGAGGTGTTAAGTAATACATGTTCTCTCAAGCTGAATATAACAATAAAACCAGAAAGAGGATGCTCTTCTATCTGAAGCAATGGCGCAGCTCTCCAATTGTTTTCCTTGGAATACTAGGGGTGGGAATCACTACAGGACTCATGATACAATATAATCACGGTACTCGAGCCACAATACAGTTAAAGAATTGTGATATGTTACAGCAATTGACAATGAAACGCAACATCTTGCCCAAAGACACTTATTGGTAAAATTATATATTATATATATATATATAAATAAAGGTTGATTTACATTTTCAGATTATTGAAAAAAAAAAACTACAAAAATTGAGATATAATGTTTGTATGTGACAGTTCCTTCTTTAAATGCACCCTTTAAAAAACTATATGTAATTAATATATAATTCCTATTCTTCTCCCTTACTTCCTTTGTATGTTTTAATGGCTTAGTTAATTTCAGAGAGGTTTCTGTGGGCATGTCCTCTTCATGTCACTCTGCGAAATCATGAAAATTTCCTCTCCTATCCTGCTAGGACTGCTCTGAGGTGTTCCTCAATTTTACAATGACTTTACCACAACAGTGTTTTGTGAATCACTGGACCAGCTAGACTCGGAAGAGACGATGGTCCTAGTGGGTTACCACTGTCCTAAGTGTTTTGAGAGTCTGGTCCCAGATAGATTCACTGATTGCTTCACATCTGCATTGCAGGTGCAGAACGTCAACGATACGGTACCTGGAGACACCTGCCTAACAGCATTTTATATGACCCTTCCAAATCTCACTAGTGAAAACACTAGCAGAGTGCCTTTGTTAGGCGCAAGGTTTTTTTGGCTGGTGTAGGCAGAGAGCTCGGGAAGTGTGTGGGTGAGTGGTGGGAGCACTGAATGGGAAGAGATCGGGGGAGATGCTGGAGTGAGGGGGATGGAAGGAGGGTGGGGGAAGGAATGAGTCACCAGTCACTGGTAGAGATGCAGGAAGAAGGCAGCATTGTGTAAATTTTAGACGGCTTCAGTCTCACGGCTTCAATAAACAATTTTCCTTCAACTTGTCCCTTAGCGCCTCATTTGAAAAGTTCTTGCCAAAGTCAAAAAAGCAAAGGAGGATGCAAATTATCTGATACAGCAACGCAGTCTTAACAACACTATTTGTAAATTCAATTCTCCATCAGGAGAGGTTCAGAGGTGCCGTACTTAATTTTCTTTTAAAACGGACAGTCATGTAAATAAAGTCAAATAGACAGGGGGGATAATTAAAATGGTTTCAGCTCTTTTTGTTCAATTACATTTCACTCCCTTGTAGTCTAACAACGCTGTCTTTCAAAATTAACACCCCTCATCTCTCTATTCCCCATGCACAGTGAGAGGAACAAACACCTATTACCACATAAAAGCATGAGGCCCAATGTGCTGTCAGCTCCATGAATCATTTGAAGCTTCTGCTGTTAAACTGAAGTGTTATTAAACACAGTCGAACAAAAGTAGAAGAGAATTCTGCTTTACATGAAAGAATAGTAAGCATGCATGTTGAGAAGAGAGGTGAGAAAAAAAAACAATTGTGTCCGTCCCACTCACATCATAGCCGTGGTGCTCATGCAGTCATCTCTCTCCCATTCACACAACGCTTCATCACTTAGAGTCACACGTACGAGTAAGTGACCTTCAGAGTGTTTTGGATTGTTTTGTTGGCTTGTTTTTGGCAGCCTAGGATGCCGTGATGAGCATGTATTTGTCATAACGTGTAATGCCATCTTGAATCTGTTTAGTAGGAACGTGTTATTCATAAGAGACTTGAGCTGCCACTGAATAAAATACAATTTTTCAATATAAACTCATCTCTAGTTTAAACTGTATCTTTACATTCATACCTTTCCATTAATGGTTCTACTGTTTTGATAAGAAAAGATAGAAGGGAGACCGAAATAGGCTTTTTTTTTTAAGGAAATTAAAACCTTAAACCATGTGAATATACTGCCATCTGCTGGCCATTTCTGAAAAAAGAAAGGGAACAGGCCAGAGATTTAATGCTACCGTGGACACTGCGATGCAATGCATTTTCCTGCTTGAATACACGACTCAACGTATCTAAAGCAAAACAATCTGTTGAAGAACTCACTCACAATCTCCACTGATGCCACAACCATTCATGGCCGAGAGTCCAAGAAAGACCCTTCTTTTCTCCCACTATCACGCAGCTTGATGCTAACCAGTCGGTGAGGAAACAGAACTGGCAGTTAAACCATCAGGATGCTTCAAAAAACGAAAGAGCTAAATGAAACCCAAAGATCCAGGGAAGCTAAATCTGTGTTTTCTTTCTAATTAGGTTAATCTTGTTTTTGCAGGTAAACAGTAAACATGTAATAAGCATACCTTTTGAATAATGTTCTAATGGCCAATAAATGACCAATATATTTCACCAGATTTCTCACCTCTTGATATAAATTAGCTGGTCCCAATTTTGGGTAAAGCATTCCCCTTAGCAATCACAATGCTGACTTTGCCCCTTTTAAAATAACTCTCTCTTTTATAATGTTCAAAGCTCTCATGAACTTTTTATTAATGTAAGGCACATTTTCAGCAACTCCATAGTTGTGCTTTAAAAAAAAAATCATTCAAGACACCACCGTACCGTATCAAACGGAATAATGAATTTTGTGAATCATTATACTCCTAGTGCTAGTTTTCACCCTCCCAGCTTGTGTGACGGAGGAGACTTACCGAGAGGATGGAATTGGACATGAGTAAATTGGGCAAAAAATTGGGTTAAATTTCTTAAAAAATACGTTTAGAAGATATCAGATTTGTTGACAGTCATGAATGAAATGCTTCATCACAGACAGTTCCTCCAGGTCAAATGTCGAGACTTACAAATGTAGACAGGGTCTGATGATACACAAATTTGACTATAT